AACTGCAGTAGAACTGTATCATATCTAACTGCAGTAGAACTGTATCATATCTAACTGCAGTAGAACTGTATCATATCTAACTGCAGTAAACTGTATATATCTAACTGCAGTAGAACTGTATCATATCTAACTGCAGTAGAACTGTATCATATCTAACTGCAGTAGAACTGTATCATATCTAACTGCAGTAGAACTGTATCATATCTAACTGCAGTAAAATCTGTATCATATCTAACTGCAGTAGAACTGTATCATATCTAACTGCAGTAGAACTGTATCATATCTAACTGCAGTAGAACTGTATCATATCTAACTGCAGTAGAACTGTATCATATCTAACTGCAGTAGAATGATATATTATCTAACTGCAGTATAGCTGTATCATATCTAACTGCAGTAGAACTGTATGATATCTAACTGCAGTGGAACTGTATCATATCTAACTGCAGTAGAGCTGTATCATATCTAACTGCAGTGGAACTGTATCATATCTAACTGCAGTAGAACTGTATCATATCTAACTGCAGTAGAACTGTATCATATCTAACTGCAGTGGAACTGTATCATATCTAACTGCAGTAGAACTGTATCATATCTAACTGCAGTAGAACTGTATCATATCTAACTGCAGTAGAACTGTATCATATCTAACTGCAGTAGAGCTGTATCATATCTAACTGCAGTAGAACTGTATCATATCTAACTGCAGTAGAACTGTATCATATCTAACTGCAGTAGAACTGTATCATATCTAACTGCAGTAGAACTGTATCATATCTAACTGCAGTAGAACTGTATCATATCTAACTGCAGTAGAACTGTATCATATCTAACTGCAGTAGAGCTGTATCATATCTAACTGCAGTAGAACTGTATCATATCTAACTGCAGTAGAACTGTATCATATCTAACTGCAGTAGAACTGTATCATATCTAACTGCAGTAGAACTGTATCATATCTAACTGCAGAAGAACTGTATCATATCTAACTGCAGTAGAACTGTATCATATCTAACTGCAGTGGAACTGTATCATATCTAACTGCAGTAGAGCTGTATCATATCTAACTGCAGTGGAACTGTATCATATCTAACTGCAGTAGAACTGTATCATATCTAACTGCAGTGGAACTGTATCATATCTAACTGCAGTAGAGCTGTATTATATCTAACTGCAGTAGAGCTGTATCATATCTAACTGCAGTAGAACTGTATCATATCTAACTGCAGTAGAGCTGTATCATATCTAACTGCAGTGGAACTGTATCATATCTAACTGCAGTAGAACTGTATCATATCTAACTGCAGTAGAACTGTATCATATCTAACTGCAGTAGAACTGTATCATATCTAACTGCAGTAGAACTGTATCATATCTAACTGCAGTCGAGCTGTATCATATCTAACTGCAGTAGAACTGTATGATATCTAACTGCAGTGGAACTGTATCATATCTAACTGCAGTAGAGCTGTATCATATCTAACTGCAGTGGAACTGTATCATATCTAACTGCAGTAGAACTGTATCATATCTAACTGCAGTAGAACTGTATCATATCTAACTGCAGTAGAACTGTATCATATCTAACTGCAGTAGAGCTGTATCATATCTAACTGCAGTAGATCTGTATCATATCTAACATTTAAATTGTTATCATTTTCATTTGCACTGTAGTTAGCACTGGGATTAATATCATTGGCATATTTATTATTAATATCGATAGAATTATAATTACTCCCATGGGTATCATTATTATTAGCCTCATAGGCATCATAATAATCATTATCAACTTTTCATGCTCTCTTAATTTTTTATGCCAAAGTAGGCTTATAACCACACTGAACGACTAATAAATAATGAATAAAATACGTGAATAAATGAAACCTCAGATAATTACATGCATATTTATTGATAATTTTTTCATCCAGTATACTCACACATGCGTAAGGCACAGAACACAAGCATTGCAAATTTAGCCATACAAGTCTTACAACGCAAGCACTGCAATACAAGACTTGCAATACAAGACTTGCAACACAAGAATTGCAACACAAGAATTGCAACACAAGCATTGCAACACAAGCATTACAACACAAGCAATGCAACACAAGCATTGCAACACTAGCACTGCAACACCAGCCTTGCAACACATGCGTAAGGCACAGAACACAGACGTTGCAACACAGGATAATACGTGACCGTAAATAACCTAAAATCCATTTACAGATGCAGTTAATTAAATAGATCTATCATCTAGGTCCTATTAATTTACACTAGTTGACATTGGAATACTGGGTCGGTAACTAAAGTTAGGAATAATCGTATTGATAACCATTATGATTATGTAATAATAATAATAATTATAAAATAATTATAATAAACCTGTAAACATGTTATATATATATATATATATATATATATATATATATATATATATATATATAATAATAATATATATATATATATATAAAATAAAAAAAAAATAGTTTTAAAAGATGGG